TTGCGTAATGGTTTTTACGCTTATTGATATTGTGGATTGTTTGTATGTACAGACGATTGCAGCCAGTCACAATTTATTGTTTAATTTAAAAATGTACACAACATAATAATTGTAAACAAAATGTTCTAATATTCTAATATTCTTAACATATATTTGCACGCCTATTAATTTTAAATTCAAAACTATCTCACAAAGAATAGTTTACAATGACGCCCACAAAAGAATCTCTTGTTAAAAATTTCCTGAATATCTAATTTAAAAAATAAAAAACCAAGCCCAACAAAAAATGTTAGTTAGCGGTAAGCAGGCAGAATGACAAAGTTCCCATGCCATCATCATTATGTGTAATAGGTTCGTATTACAGTGAATATTTCAGCTGCTTATTTACAGAACGCAATATAACGCACGCGATTCTTACCCGACCAAGCCTGTCGCTACAATTTTGTTATAATGTTTTTGGTTCTGTATGTTTTTGTCTATTGTAGCAAAACCAACAAAGAAACTAGAATTTATAGTAGTTTTCGTAATGTTGCTTTAAAAAATGTACAATGTAGAAATTTTGCTGCGTTACAGATTTTTTTTAGGTTTCTGAGTATCAACCAGCCTAAAAACCTTATATATTTATTTGGAGAATTAGTTAAAATTGCAAACTCAATCGTCGAAGAATTAGTCAAAATAATTACAACTTTTATCTATGTATATGGGAACAACGTCGTTGTCGAATTGGATTGAGAAGTGGCTATTTTAATCGTCTTTAATTTGATCAAGAACCAAAACTAATAAAATTAAATTAGTCATTGATTTTTGTCTTTATTAACAACTTCAATCCATGATTCCTATTAATTAATAGTAAGTATAGCGATGATGTCACATATCCCTTTGAATTTCCTCCCATGGCACATACGGTATATTTTTTATACTAAATAAAACCTTTTGTTACACAAAAGTCATTACAGTGAAGAAGGAACGTGAAATCGCGAGTGCCTCTCACGTCACTCACGATCGTCTGAACAAATTGAGACAGTGCAGAAATAACGCGGCATTGTATTAAAGAATTGGAATGATCGATCGTGTCAGGGCGTTCATTTTAATTTCGATCTCCGAGATCGGCCCGGGGCGTGGTTGTGCGAACAATTTGTTTCATGTCCCTAATACGTATATCTATCACTGAACTCTATTGAGAATTGTCTTCTTTCCGAGTTCGTGGTCGCTGTTTTGCAGTTCCGTTATTTTTCTAAACTATATCTTTGAACAAAGGAAATGTTTAGCCTCAACCAAAAATATACGGAGTTTTGAAATCCTTAGAGTATTCACCGCAAATTACAGTGTCCAAAAAATAAGTATAGAATTTTCATCTAAATTTTTTGTGGTTACTTCATTGTCAGTGCAGTCGTTTTGCATAACTGTTTTCTTTGTGTGTGAAAAAGTATTTTTGGACGACAAGTAAAAAAACAGGAAACGCTATTGAAAATGCCGGATATGCGGTATTTGGAAATAGACGCGGAGACGAGATGAGTAGATGTGGAAGTTTGTGAAGACGATATCTAAGTTTAGGTGTACAAGAGCGTTTGTCGAAGCGGGTGGTTGTGGAGCGGTGCGCGGCGCGGCAGTGCATCGCACGGGCGTGCATCGCTCGATAGCGCTGACAGTGACGGATTACCCCGGTAGCGCCGGTTCACGGCCGGCTCTGCAGCCCTTGCGACTAGGGCTGCCGACAGATCTCCGCACGAAGAAAGATGTGACATTTTGGTCCATACACGTTTACTATTTGAGTAAAAAATATATCTGTCACGGATGTTATAGTAACACAAGTAATTCAGAAAAAAAAATCACATATATTTTGTGTAGGTAACTTATGATGTTTCTGGATTAAATTAAAATGATTTTGTTAAAGTATTCTCCATAAATGTTACACTAGTATAGGTAACTAGAATAGATTAGTTAACGAATCATTCCTTCCTTACTCCATAGCGATTTCGGAACTACGCACCAGCTTGGCTATGAGATATTTCTCATTAAGCAATTATTTTTTGGGTCAAGCTTCTAAACCGACATAGATTTGTAGTTCGAATATTTAAAAAAAGCACGTAATAAAATATTCAAACTAAATTAGTAGACAACCCTACATGTTTGTGCAAACTTATATTTCGAGTGGTATCATCAGGGTGCCTGTAAGGTTTGTGTTTAATAATATCAGCAATAATATTACAGGGTACTGTTGTACTTTGTCATCCTTGCGATTACTCAAATAAAAGGAAATTGAAATGAAGCAATACGAATTCTGTATACAATATACTTATAGTTATACAGCGATATAAAGTTGGAAATCATTAATAATTATCATGATTAAAAATATTTGACAATATTGAGTTACTAGTCTTGATACATCTACACAATAGTGTTTAAATATTTATCAATCAGGTGGTAGACTTTGACCCCTGCCAATTTCGAAATGTCCTACTCATATTACGCGTTACGTACTTAATACAAAATTCGGATAAAGAATAAAGCTTCTAATAGGCTACTGGTTATCTAAGCAAATAAGTATAAATAAAAAAAAAAAATACGAAAAATGAGGTGCAGGTTAAATATTTTTTGCCGATGTACAAACTGCCTTCGTAGAATGCTTATTATGAAGATTATCCAAACTAATATTATAAATGCGAAAGTAACTCTGCCTGTCTGTCTGTCTTTTCTTCACACCTAAACCACTAAATCGATTTCTGTGAAATTTGGTACATACATACTTTGGAACTGGAGAAAGGACGTAAGATAGTTTTTATACCAAAACCAAAAATCTGCAGGAAGTCACTATTCCACGCGAACGGAGTCGCGGGCAAAAGCTAGTTAAAATATATAAAACTGGAATGATGTCTATTAGGTCTACTAGTTAAGTTTTTGAGAAGATTTTTTTACTTTCGTAGTACCTACAGCTACTCCGATCTCTTGGCAAAGACAGAGAAGTTTAAATATTACAGTTTTTGGTCAGGAGCCAGACGAAGATAAAGCTATTTGTATCAAAGATTTCTTGGCTCAAGCATTCTGTTTCATTTTATTAGTTCAGTCGTGGCCTTCGACTTGGGGTTTCTTTTCTTCTTTTTCTTGTTATTTGAGACCAACACAAATTCTTATATTCTTCTTTTGATCGGAAATGATGTCAAAGTCTAATTTTTTATAATATTTAAAACTAAATCAAATCAAATTTTGCACACTTAACTTTTCCAAAAGGCAGACAGATATAATTGGAGAAAAAATGTTCTGATTTTTTAACTACTTTCTGAACAAAACGCTTAGCGAAGAAGTAGCGTCCATAAAATCGTGTTAACGCGTGCGTTTTGTCGGCGGGACCCCCTGGCGAGCCCCGCGGGAGATCGCTCCTGTACACCACGCGTTAATCGCCTCAAATATGAAAATATTATCTATTACACGATGTAAAACTCCTTAAGTTTTACACAAAAAACTCGGAAGGTCGCAAATGTGAACGACCGGGACGAAAGTGTACAATCATTGCGTCTGATTGGTCTTGTGGTGTATAAAAAGGTGAACGGGTAATCAGTTCATGTTACAACGGTTCCTAGAAGTGGAAGTGTCGGTAACCCACACCGGTGGGATGATACTCTTTTTGCATTGACACACGTCATTTCAATGATTGTATTCAAAGTGTCTGTATTTTGTAAAAGACACATACTTACACCGTATTTTATTCTTCTTTATTGTATAGTATATACTCTTTTGTTCTTTGGTCTAGTAGTTTCTCTTTTATAAGAATATTTGGAGCTTAGATAAATGAGACGTCATAAAAATAATGTAGACAAATTACTATAAATACTATAATGACAAATTATTATATACCTAACTTGCCTAGTATTTAAGTAGAGCTTAGATGAATTAGATTAAAAAAAATGTAGAGGTAATATTGTAATAATTAGTTACGAATTGTATACCTTGTTACTTTCTAATGTTGAAAAAAATTGAGACTTTTGTTTGTGGTTTCGTTTGGTTATCAGTTTAACGTAATTCCTTTGCTAATTGTATCAATATTTTCCCAAGCTAAAGGTCGGTAGCAGTACAGATATGTCGCAATTTGTATCGCATCCTCATGATGTATCGCTCACCAGGTGAGGGTCGCATCACACGACGGATGGTGATGGATCATCCACGACTCATTGTTCTCCCAATCACTCGTTATGTCCCAGAGATAAATTTGGGGTCACTTTGCCTTTTATCTATTGTCTAATTGTATAAAAAAAGTCTTTATTAAATTGCTAGAAAATGGAGAGATGTTACACGTTTTTTTTATTGTCATAATAAAAGTAAAAAGGTAAATTTAAGTTATAATCGATCTGTGTTTTGAACAAATGCCGATTAGTTAAATCGCACAATATAATGCACGAATTTTGCATATAATGGCTTCCCATGAGCATTGGATATTGTCTTACAGAATATTCCCAGGTCTCGATTCTTTTATATATTTACCTACAAGCTTGTCAGCATGTAAAAATTATGTTTAAAAATGTTCTCACTTATAATTTGTGGTTATAGTGCATGTCGAGTAGTCCGTTCCGTTACACGGCATGTTGGCGGCGGGTCGGTGGCTCGGATAATACCTCTGCCGACGCGTAGCGATACCACTCCCACACCAAGAACCAACTACAGTTACAGACACAAAACGTCGGCGTCGTCGCGCCACACAATTCAATATATTTCGGAGTAATTTGATGTTCATTAAAGAAACTCTGGGACCGTGAACCAGAATACAATGGTTGAATAGCCATTTGTTGTTGCCGTTGAAAGGCACAATAATAATTCAGAAGTTGTTACTCACGCGGCAGTTAGGCGCACTTACGAAACGCAAAATGTCCACGTTTGACAGAGCCATTTTCTTACTGGTGTGATAGTGGGGCCTGATAAATGTTTTTGACCGCTATTCGCAGTTTCGAAACTCTAATTCTGATTATACAATCACCCATCTCCATATTTATACTAAATTTATTACGTACCTTGTTGACTACTCTTCCTAGTAGTTTTTTTTTCTTTCATCCATGGATACTCCGGAACGTTGAGGCCACCACCGGGGGATGGTAGGTCGGGCGCATAGCCTGGGGGCGTGTGTTGAGGGCTGAGTTCTCCACCGCCTAATTGAGGTAAGGCTGTCATGAACTCTGCCATGGAAGGTTGGCTGTTGATGAAGCCAGTTTCGGTACATGTTTCGAGCATAGGGTGTGGGGCTCCTGCGGTGGTGACGGCGGCCAGCCAGAAGCCGTTGCCCCCGTGCTCCATGCGCGGGTGTTCCTGCCCCGGCGCTGGCCCCATTGGCGGTGTGTTCCTCGTCTTCACCGCGAAGTCCTCTTCCATTTCATCGCGCACCCCCATACCAACTCTTGCGTGTTGCTTCCCTCTGATAGTTGGGAACTCTTCGCATTTTATCTTGCGCACCAGCGGGTTAGTGTCGAGCGGCAAGGCAGCGGTGTTGCATATCTCTTGCATCGCTGTGTGTGTGCCACGCTGTCCGGCGCCTGATCATTCACGTGACGTGTTTGGCTTTCGTTTCGCCGCATGTGTCATTTTTAGGAACACATCAGGATTATTTGAAGCGGAGATTCTTGTTTATGATTGCTGCACTGGATGTTGACAGTAGCAGCATATTATCTGAAACATATAATTTGCTGTTAAAATGTTTGAATAGTATTGTCTCGAAACTAAAAAGTATCTAACACGTCTTTATTTCACTAGTTCGGAATAAATAAAACAGTAGCGGTGAAAATATCGATGCACCAATTAGTATTGTTAGGACTGTACCGGACTTTCAATTAAGGACACAATATGAACCGGAGCAATGACAAATCATCTTCATTTGACGCAAATAGAGAGGCACCAAATTAAATGTAACGGCAGAAGGTTGTCTCGCGGTTATTTCGCAATTATCCGCGGACATTCAACATTACCGCGGCTTTGTCGGATAATTTGTACGTAAAACCGTGATGAAGTCACGAATAATGAGCGAACCAAATTGTTTATTGTAATTTAGAGGCCCCATGAACTGTTGCACGTGACCGACGAAAATGAAGCTATTACATTTTTATGAACACCACTGAAAATTATGAAAATATAATGTTCGGACGTAGATAGAATGGATATTTCATTATCGTGTGTTTATTTGTAACGTAGTCATGTAAAATATATGGCAGTCATTTTGTTATGTTTTGTTGCGTAAACATAATAATTACCTACTATCTGTATTGGTGGTATATTTTTTTCTTATATTTCCCAAATGTTTCTTTTCTGAAATTAAGCGAAGAATGCGTTTTTAAAGCATGTTTTGTAAGATTAACAAGTAGTACTTTTACGTGAGAAGGGCGTCACTGAAGGGAGGTTGAGGTTGCGGACGTGTGGCGTCACTTTTATAGCGCACATGTTGTGGCCGACCAACTCGGCCCCAGCCAAACGACATGTAAACTCGAAAATGTTCCCAACGCGCCGATCGCGTTGTTGCCTCAACGTCAATTAAAATTCAAACCGCGTTCGAAATACGATTTTTTCCACTGGAATTTGCGGCGCGGTCCGGAGAAATGGCGGGAACGCGCCTTTTTGTTTTATTTTATTTTTTTGAAAATGGAACGGCTGGCGGTTAAACCTATTTTAATGCGTATGGGTTGTTGTGTGTTTTGAATTAAAAATTTTGTCTGTTCTCCGTGCGCGCGGATGGACAATGAAATGTAATTTCCTTTTCGAGAATGCTGCTTTTTATTCGTACGTGTGAAGGAAATTATGCATACTAGCACATGAAGCACACTTCTAGATTATTTTGTAATATAAATTACTTCTCAGTTAAATACTTTTGCGATGCGATTTAAAACAATTCTATAAACCCACTCAGGGGGTTCTGTTTATTCACCCGAGTTACAATTCATGGTTCTAACTCTTTTTCGAAACCATGGCTTTTAAGAAAGCAAAGGAAATTTTAAAAGTCCCCTTTCCCCTTGTTTCTCAGCAGGGTTCCGCAGGTTTTACGCCGCGTTTCACTTTACCGGCGCCCTCGAGGGGCCCCCTTAAAAAAGCATAAAACGTGAACAGAGCCTACTTATGAATTTGTTTATGGACCCATTTTTAGACGACGTTTACTTCAAAATCTGTGAGCTTACGAAATAACAATATTCGTAATTTAATGATCTCTAAATCTTTATTGATACGAGCACTTTTATAGTCGATATAAGTTAATAGATTAGGTAAACATTTTTATTTACTTTTATGACTGACTAGATTCAGTTCGTGGCACCATCCGCTTGGTATGTTGATAAAATCCAGCATAATACCGGTCTCCAGGACGATACCTGTCTACATACTAATTATATCAACAACATTTTTTAAGTGAACGAACAATAGACATAGTACATCTATCACATCAAATACTTTCACATTTTGTAGGATTATTTTGATTAGTGGCTACTTATTGAGTTTATTGTTTTTTTTTCTAGAATAAGAGGCTGGGCATTGAGCCTCAGATCTCCTGACTGACAATATCAATACCAAACAGCTATAGAAATATAACAAAAATGCATAGGTAGCGAAAAATGCACGAAAAACCTCAAAAAGACATAGCATAACTGCGATGTAGGTTACAACCAACCTCCATGTAATAAAGTGAAGGGATAAGCAGCTATTATAGTCAATTTGGTTGTTTATACATGGTGTTCACTATATAAGCGAACATCTGCGTGTTGCCGTCCAAACTAGTGGTTAGGGTCCAATTTGCTGGCCGTAACGATTTCCTCTTCGGGGAATCGAATGGCGTGCGTCCGGATGCCGCCCACCTACATACGTACGTAGCTAAATATGTATAGTGCCTTCAATGTGGTTCAATGTACGGTATGGCCGAAGAAAGCTCCAATTATTGTTGATTTACCATGAAGCATGGAGGTCGGCTTTTGAAACGGTGTGCTATACTTTTTCATGTGTGAATGTTATGGAATCGATTTTGTAAGCAAAATTTGAAGTAAATAATAAAATGTTAAAAGTTATAATTCTGATAACAATACTGTCGATAGTTCTACAGTTTTATGATGAGAGACTTACCTACTACCTATGCACTAATGCTCATTTCTGGGTTTAACAACTTCTGTTTCGTCAATGGAACCGATTCTGAATTTAAATATATTTTTTTATTTCTGTTAAATTTTTATTCATTGGTCTACATATTAGTCCGATACATAAAAAATTGCCTTCTCGATCAACTGTTCCTTTTTCAAAGCAAGAATTTAGTTGCTGTCACATTCCAAATATAAAAATTCATATTCAGTCATAACAGTGACCAGCTACATTTATCCTATGACACAATAAGTACATAAGTAGGCATGTACCACAGAGGTCCGTTATTGCTCATTATTACCGAGTTCCCAGCACGCACGTACAATCAACGAGAACAATTGACCGCCCGCTTGCTTATTTGTCAATCTGTATTATTGGCCAGTTAATATGTAAGTACGCAGTACTGGCTGGAATGTTGATCTAAGTAGGGCTGGCGACAAATTGATATGTAGTCTGCAATGCAAGTAGGTTTAAGAATTGAAGATGTATTCAATTGCATGATACGAATGATGCGACCCGTTTAACCTACTTAAATGTTCAGAAAAATGTTATTTTATATGATGTAGTAATTGGTATCTGTTCACTCAGATCAGTCACTGCGTAAACCAAAACACCACTATGACTACTTTTTATATCGAATTTCTTACTATGAGGTAAAATCTTAAAATATAACCGAACCTGTAGATGGCTGTCTTAATTGTAAGCCTACGTGGAATTGAATTTAGAATAACTAGCTTCCAAATAATCTAATTACAACTCAACCAAAAGAATTATATAAACACAAATAAAACAAAACATATCCTTCAATACCAAAGTCGACCTCAATTCCTAAAACAAAGAGTATAAAATACAAAAAAAAACTCGATGCAAAACAAACAATGTTTGCTAATAAGGTAAAAAAACATGTAATTTGCAAACAGTAGCTTTATAATTACAGAGTCATTTAGCCAAGCATTTTAACTCGTATGTAGTACTTATGTAAATTTTGTAAGGCGTAACACTAACTATGATAGTGTACTAGGAATAATTTTGTACCTACGCATATACAGGGTGTTCAGTAAAGAATGGATAACCTTGAAATTACTTTTAGTATATCTTATGACCAATTTGTATGGATTTCCCTTGACACTCTGTATAGCTACATGCTTGTAGGACTACGTGTAGAACTGTTGAAATATTAAAAGAGACACGGTAAATTAAATAACGTGTCATTCCAAAAAAAAAAAAAATGACAATTTATCATTTTTAGATGACTTAGTCGCGTAATTATTTAACGAGATAACTCGACTAGTTTCAAGCCACGCGAGAAGCTCATAACTATATACGAGCATGTTTGCGCGTTAAGCGACGACGGACGTGGCGACTATGGCGTTATTTGCCACAAATATCATCGACGTACTAATTTATTTTTTAATGTTAATACGGATTTGACCCAATTACTTACATAAACAAAAAAAAACAACATTCATTCGCCAAAATTACCAATAAATCAATAGTTGAATTCGATTGCAGGAGATTGTTAACCGAGACTAGAGTGCGAGCAATTGGTGACCTAACACTAAGTGACTACTTGACAATTTCATTCATTGCCATTCGATTAAAAAACTTATTTAACCTAAGACACCAGGAGAAACCTCATAAGCAAACTAAAAGGCTATGAGTGCGCGTACCTCCATTAGAAATTTACCTATTTCATGTGCTAACTTTCTATTTCCATCAGATCTGACCATAGCTGGCCATAGGCAGGGGAATAATTATTTTTTTATAAACCCGCAAATTATAGTTCCTAGTTATTGAGAGTGTACGTCGAAGTACAAAAAGCAGTTGACATGAAAACCGACTTGGGAACTGTAATTTCCTTAGTGACTTGAAAGCATTTTCCTATTTACGATGTGTATGTCTGTGTGTGTGTGTGTGACATGTTTGCGCTTCCTTCAATATTAAGATTCTACAGATTGGTTGGTACTCGAAGTGTAACTTTCTCACCCGAGCGAAAATAATTTTAAAAATGCAAAATTAATTTTGTTTTGGAAACGAGATTTTTGAATTTGTTTGGCCAGTTTGAGATATTGGCGCTTTCAACTATTATGTAAATGAGGCCAAAAAATTGTATCGTCTAATTATTTTATGTTTAAAGTTAAGAGCTAGCTAAACCTATAAATGGTTTAATAAGTAGATAAGTAAGCACTGAATTTTGTACACAATAATAGGGCTGAAATCTTCTGTATGGAAAAAAGCCCTTTTAATAAAATAAAGATTAAAAAAAAAAAACTATTATGTAAAGAAACTGAAATACTATTTTAGCACATATTATCAAATAAATACAAATTATACCTACAAGATAATTATATGCTAATGATATAACATTTATAATTTTCTTCCTAAGATGCTTGTAGCTTTAA